AGCAAACCATCAAACTATGCCTTAATTAGGAGCTCTTACAGCTGATGGTTAAGAGAAATTGCACTCAAAATCAGCACTAGGTCATATCCCAATGAACTATTGGATCATTTTCTATAGAAATAAATTGACCTCTGAGAATATAAATGTCAAATGAAGCACAAATTCATTATAATAACCAAAGATACATGCATAGTGAGATAGATAGGGAGATGAAGACAACAAGACAGGGAGGTAGATGCACAGAGAGAGAGAGAGCGAGAGAAGAGAGAGGGAAAATTAGAAGGGAAGCTCTGTATTTGTCAATTACTGGAAATGACAAATTACAAAACATTTTCATTTTCGTGTCTGAATTCTAAATATATTCGCTTCTTCAAACATTTCAATTGTTTGTTGTAATGAATGAAAGACTAAAAAAAGATGAGCCTTGTATACAAGTTCTTAACTCATCCCTTCCCTTCCCTCCATCCTCTCTCTCTCTCTCTCAAGCTCTTCTCTCTCTCTCTCTCTCTTTATATTATATTTGAATAAAGCATTTTGCTGCTGAAAAATTCATCAGATTAAGCAATAGAAGGCCATCGGTCAGCTGTCTCCTCTGCTCAAGCTTTCCATTAGTCTCAATGACTATGCGCTCTTTGTCATATTTTTGCCTTTTACGGCTTTAAACCATTCGAAATTAAGAGAGTCGTGTAGAATTGAAAGCTTCTCATATATGCACATCATCTGCTTTGAATGATACATCCATGATGGCTCAACAACTTTCTCATATTTTTTTCTCTTCTGCTTTTTCAACTCGACCATGGAAACAAGAGGGGACAAACATTATCTCTACAGCTTCTTCTTCTTCTTCTTCTTCTCTTAATACGGTTAGTTGAGGTTGAAATGAAGAAAACAAAGAGCAGATTCTAGTCAAGATATTTCATTTTCCAATTTAATTCATTTCCGATGAGCAAAAACTTAACACCAACGATCATGTGCGGTCGGTCTCGCGAATTGCTCTGATGATGAAATGAATTTCAATACAAGTCTGAATTCTGCAACTTCGATGAATATCTCACAAATTTCCGGTTTCTTCCTCTTGTCTTAGAAATGAGAACAGCGCCAAGTAAGGCAATGCTGGTGAGGGAGTATGTTGAGAATGCCGGCTTATCCATTGCCCATTCTAAAACCTCGCGACCTCCTCTTTCCTTGTGAGGTGAAATTTATGGAAAAAAACGTAGGAAAAAACGGGCAAGCATTGACTGGAGGTCAAACATCACAGTTTTTGCTTTCTTAAGTCACGTTTATACTCTATGAATTCAGGTGGGTGAGAGAAAAGGGTCAGGGGGCAAATCCAAGCAACTTAAATCGACAGCTGACTATGAGTCGAGGGATAATGACTATCTTGAGATTGCTTCAATATCTTTCGATTGGCAAATGCCAGAAAAAAAGTATTAGATGAATTGAACGAGGGAGATAAATATAATCAAATACCAATAAAAATGATATAAAGTATAATTAATATGTTTTCTAGGTGGACATATCAACCCAGCTGTCTCTCTCATGTTCCTTTCCTTCAAGCAACTTGCTCCAGTTAGATTCATCCTTTACCTTCTCGTCCAAACTGCCGGAGCCCTTGTCGGAGCCGGACTCACCTATGCTATGTACCATGGTAATATATTTTCTAATATAAACTATATTACATTATTGATATTATAGAAGCCATCAACAAGTTCGATGGTGGAGTACGTGCTGTTGTTGGCGCTAAGGGAACCGCCGGAATCTTCGCCTCTTACCCAGGAGAGCATCTTGGCCTTTTCAACGGACTTCTCGATCAGGTTATTCAATTATGACATTCATAAAACCAAACAACTGCACGAGAGGGTCATCTGCTACTTATAAGGCTGTCGTCTGTTATTTTTATGTTGAATTAAACAGTAAAATTCCGACGTCTGTTAGCCCTGATTGACGACATTAAATAGTTGACGTCTGGCGGATTGTAAGAAGCATAGAGGTCATAGCTTATACTCCAGATGACAATCGGCTTGTATAAGACCGAAAGCATCTGGGAGTCATCTGATTGATGACAGACGACGACAAGTTCCGGTATACAGATGATACTTATTTCCTCACGAATTCGCCATGTGGCAAAACGAATAGGGGAAACTCCAATATGATGGATAATACTGTATTATTGACAGCTTCTGGAGATACAAGATGATAAAGAAATCTTTTTCATTCTCAGTCAATTAGACAAGTGAAGCTTGGAACTGTCATAGATCGGTATCTAAATAACAATTGCGTCCGAGAGAGAGAGAGAGAGGAGAATCTTCTTCATGAAATTTTACTCATCTGAATATTGCAGGTTATCTCTACCGCCGTCTTCTGCTTCTTGATCGCTCACATCACCGACAAGAGAAACTCTTACCCATCATGGGTTCAACCTCTCCTTGTTGGACTTTCCTTCGTCGGAATCGGAGCTGCTTTCGGATACAACTGCGGATACCCATGCAACCCATCTCGTGATTTCGGACCACGTCTTTTCACCTTCATCATCGGATACGGAGGAGAAGTCTTCTCGTAAGTTCTCATACATCATTTGACTAACAAAAGAATGAAAACCAATATAAAACCTAATAAGAAGAATAGATGGCTATTTTTGTTGCCATTAACTTTCCTTCTAAATAGGTTTTTGGCATCAAAACAGATAGCGTAACATCGATACGTGAAGAGAAAGACTATTACATCTTTCAAGACTTCACACTCTTTCGCCTGTATACTTGTCAACCAAACCAACACCAACCCTATGAAATAGGAGAAGAAGCTTATTCACACCATGATTCAATTGACTCTGACAGAGAAAGAAAAAATGAATCTTCTTCACAATCTAGACAAAGCGTAATACATGGATATGTGTGGAGACTCTGTCTCTGCAACAGTCTATTTGCATGTTGCAATCAAGAGATTATCCTATACGTTTACTCCTAATGACATGAAACAAATTTTCTATTTTCTCAATCATCTCTTCCAATGCTATTCTATCTCAACATTTTTCGAAAATAATCTTCGAATCGGGTTGAAGCTAACGAAAGCTTTAACTTAGTAAGTCCATAATTTAGTCCAAGTTTGTTGTTTTGACATTCGATTTGGTATGAAAACAAGAAATGTTTCGAACCAATTTTCGACAAAAGAAACTTTTCTCCGTCCGTCATAACAATCGGATAAAACACTCTCTTGTTATAATCAGCATGGATGACCTTCACACACGAAATTTCAATTAAAACATAAAACGTACTGTTGAATTGGGAGGGAAAGGGAGACGCAATCCAAATATTCACATCGTTCAACAACATTTTCCTTTTACTTCATTTCCTTCTCGAACCCATTTTATTGACCTCTCGGGGAAGGTTTTCGATCATCTGAAATGACAGGGAACATAAATAAAAAATATATTATTGAGTCCATCTTTACCCTTTCTCATCTGACTTCTACCTCATATCAGAGCTCATAGCTTCAGACAGAGGAGGATAAATAGGCAAACGAAGAAAACATTTACAAATTATCAAAGTTACCAACCTTTTATTTCAGTCACAAGTCCTGGTTCTGGGTACCAATTGTCGGACCTTTCATCGGAGCCCTCCTCGGAGCCTGGCTTTACCAACTCCTCATTGGATTCCACACTCCACAAGACGTTGAGGAGAAATACGTCGTTCTCACCGGAAACCAAGAATTGAAGCCTCTCACCGGAAAGGAGTAAGTTGCAACATTCATTCCTTAATAGAATAAGTAAATAAACAAAAAAAAGCAATTTATTTACTATTCAAATATGAATAAACTGCCGAAACTCACATTGTCCCTCATGGTGATTAATGACGGCTCATAGCGAATCTTTGGGTCTTCTTGAAACGAGCATCCATATGACAAATCTGTTCTTACAAAGGACACCATTTTCATTGTTCGAACTGACTTTATACTACAATTTTTGGAATATATAAATGAAAAACTAAAATAATACCTTACATCATGGCTTATCTTATTCAGAGAACAAGCTTCTGCTTAAATAATCTTTTGGCCAACTTGAAAGTTGTAAGTGATAGTGTGATAGTGACTGTTCATAACTATAGCTTACAGTTCTTGTGTGCGTTTTCCCTCTATAGTCCTAGTATAACTATATGATTCTTAAAACAATTAACAGTTCAAAGATACATATATAAATATGAAATTACATTTCTTATCTTTCAGCGCCGAAGAAACCGCCTAAATCGTCTGCTTCACATGTAGCTACAACGATCATCAACAATCATAATAACCTGGCTCTTTCTCCTACAAACAGTTAATCATTAATGACATTATATCAATATAATTGAAACATACAATTCATTTCTTTGTATTTACACATACTCGTTCACTCTCTTGTCTTGTCTATGGCATTTGAGATGTTCATTATGAGTTTACACTGAAAAAGGTTGTATGTTTCTATTATTAATATAATGTTTCATTATAATTACAAAATACCTTCTAGATAGTCGATAATGGTCGGAGTTAATGAGTAGTTGATTAACCATTTACGACAACATAGAATAACCAATCGATGCTATCTCACATACCTTTTTTTTATTTTTCGAACCTCCAACTGTAATAAATTGCATTCATTTTTAATAAAGTTTTGTTAAAAAGATTGTTTAAGCTGAAAACAAGTACAATCAGCGAGTGACCATGTGAACATGAACTAACCGACCGATCCTCTAGTTCATTGCATAGAAAATGGATGACGCTTACGTGATATTGGAAGATCCACGTGGAATATGCTAATGGTGGAGACACGTCATGAAAATCTATAAACAAACATCTTATGATAACACTACAACAGAAAAAGTTAAACTTACAACATACATTATGAAATGTAGAGACACCATCGATCGCACATCATACATCACGACAAAGGTCTTGTGTATATCAGTCAGCTGGTGGTCATAGAGCACATTCACGTACAAACGAACTTCGCATTCGCTTTAGAACAGACAATGCTTCCATCGGTAAGACGCTTTCTTTCCATTGGAAAGGTTTCAAACTTTGTAAGATTCATCCACATGTATTATTCTTAACTGTTATCTATTTGTAAGGCTAAAGTAGCTTATTCAACACACGACTATTCCAATGTAGATGTTCTCACTCCAGGATTTATAAATCATTTGAAGTAATTCATAAACGTGTAATTTAATCATTCATCTACTCTATCATAGAATAAACAAGAGCTCTTCTTACTCAGAAGATGATTACGACAAGAAGGTGTTGGAACCGAGAAGGATATCAGACAGCCGCACAAAGGTATTTCTCATATTGCCTTTTGCATCACTTCTTATTTCAGTGTATAATTCCATTATCGACTGATGAAGAGAAACAATTACTATACACCAGTACTACTGGGAGTGTACGAGTCGGCAAAATACTAGAGGTATTCTATTTCAATCAATTGCTTATACTTTTTGAGTTCAGGTACTGGATTTGATGTCCGTCTATGTGAGTATGCTTCACAACCGTGAAATAGATCCTGCTAATCCTGTAATGAGTTTGAAAGGTCCCAGTACCTTACCTCGTAACATCGTTACAGCATCCTTGTATAAGATGGATATCCTACAGTATAGTCCTTTTATGGAATTGTTGAGTTATGAAACGAATTGCAGGAGCAACTTAAGTTCTAATCGGGATATTATCTTAGAAGGATATGTCGGATGGGCTGGGAGAAGTAGTCTAGACGTTGCTTTGTTTGTTTACCAAAACAATGGGAAGGATTCTACAGATGAGCTCGTGATGAGAGCAAACTTCATGATGGTACAGATATGATAACAGAGATTGTGTGATGTTTGGATATTCTTTAGGCTTCGCGGCATCCAAGAGAAACGAGAGCTGTGAGAATACATCCACTCATAGCTGAAACGGAGGAAGATGAGCAGATAATAAAATTGGGTGAACAATCTGCGCTTGAAAGAAAAAAAGATGTTGGTTCATTCAAGTCATATCCTCTTTGATTATTTCATCATCAGATTACACGATCTCTTATCCGTACCTATCCTACCAATGAGGAGTTCCGTTTACTGCATAACAACCTCTTGGAATCCGTTAAGAAGTCTGAAGGACACGTCTACCAACCAGAACTAAGGGTATTCTATTCTGTTCTGCTAAGCACTATTCGAACATCGTCGTTCACAGGAAGATCAGGCTTGGATTTCCGATACGAAAACTGAAGTCCAGCTCATTTGTCATCCAGAAAATCAGAACGTTTATGGAAAAATCTTTGGCGGGTTCATCATGAAAGAAGCCTTGGAGTTAGCCCAACTCAATGCTGAGATGTTCTGCAAAGTAAGATTCACACTTAACATGTTCCTCAAACCCATTTTTCCAGGAGAGAGTTAGGATCATCGCTATGGATGATGTCAAGTTCAGTTCACCAGTAGAGATTGGAGATTTCCTTCATATTACTGCTTTCATAACTAACACTAAGCAGCATTACATGCAGGTATGTAGCTTCAGACATTGAAGTTCTAAGAACAATGTATTCAGGTTCATGCTCATGCTGAAGTAGTCTGTCGTAAAACGTATGTTAAAAGAACTAGCAATGAATTCCACTTCACTATGGAGACAGTATCTGAGAAACCTGTAAGTATAATAAAATATTTAAAGATATATAATTTGTGTTGAAGGTACGAGAAGTATTCCCAAGACATTACTCTCATGGTACTCTGTGGTTGGATGGACACCGTCATTTGGAAAAAGCTTTAACACGTAACAGCAAATCTCATTGATCAGCTGTTCATTCAAATATTTAAATTAAAATTTATCTTTTGATCTGTTATTATATATGTTAATTAAAAAACAAATACCCGAATTG